CAGGAATATGATTTCACTCTTTGCTTTTTCTAATATTTGTATTCATTTGCCTCATGTTTTTATTCAGTGTCCCGCAGTATGAGAAGGTAAAAACCTCTGCACCACTTGGCTCACACAAATAATCCATCTGCTCTGGATAATAACATTGCACAACCAGTGTGTAGCTATTTGCAGAAAATATTAGAGCTGCAGATTGGGTTGTGAAACACCATTTGATGTTCACTGAATATAAAATAAGCATTATTTATGAGCCAGTAAAAATAACAGCGATACATCTTATTTTCTTCTTTTACATATTTATAATTATGTTTATTGAGACTGTGTTTTACAACAAAAAAAGCTTAAAACATGCACAGAATGTCTGTGTGTAAGGTGTGTTTATGACCAATAATGATATTAGGTCATGAAGCCACAAGATAGGTAAGAAAGAAAAAAAAAAGGACCAAAATATGTTTGACTCAGGAGGAAATGTTTGGACAAAGTTGGAAAATATCACCAGAAATATTTACATAGGAAAGATAAGTTAAACAGTTACAAAAAAAAAAAAAAACAAGCATAAACAAACATAAAAAATAGGTTGATGTTGGTCAAAACAAAGCAAAAATAACTAAATGACAGACAAAAAACACACAATATTAGTACACAAAGCGCAAAAAGCCAACTGTGCCAAATCTGTAAACCAACAAAGAAATAGCCTCAAATTAGCCAAAATGTATTTAAATCAAGGAATTAAGGAATAAAATTAACAGTATTATTATTAATGGTACTTTTAAGGTTACCTCATGGGTAGCTAAACGTAGGCCAATAAATACAACAATAAAAAGTAAAACTTTGATTATGAAAAATATAAAACAACAATAATGTAAAAAAGATGTAGCACAATATGGCCAAAGATAATGAAATGTAGACCTGGTATATGATTAGTTAGTCACAACAGTTAAAAAACTAATTAAAGTAGGCTATTTAGTAGCAACGTTTCCAAAACAAGTTACAAAAATTGATACAATTGTCAGCTGCCATGAGAAACTCCAAAAAGAGACCTTCACAAAGTAATGATATTCTTAGTTATTTTCTGGTGTTCATTTATTTATATTTCAACAATATATATTTTTAAACTAAATAATTTCTTAAAACTTTGCAACATTGAAATACTCCATGGTCTTACTAATATAATAAGGTGTTGGTGTAGTAAACCTAACCTATACTCCATTTATACATGGCCATTTGTTATAAATTCTAATAACTTACTTTGTACCGTTAGATCACTGTAAAGAAAACCTTATTATATCAAACCTGAGTCAATGTCCAGAATAACAGCGGCTGCATTCCACACATTCCCATCATCGTTTTCCTTTTCTTCTACATCAGTCATGATTTATATTCACAATCAGGCCACTTCATTCATGCAGCTTAGTTTCCATTTTGACACGTTTGATTTAAATGTCCGGTATGGAGAAAGAGAAGTAGCGAGAGCCATATAAACAGATTTTCTTAGATCATGTCTTTGGAACCATGTCAGCTGATTATTACTTCTCAGAGTGGCTCCACTTCAAAATCAAACATTCCCTGGAATCAGAGCTACAGATTAGATTGTCACGGTTGTTTCTTTTTACCCAGAATCCGTCTTCAGAAACCTATGTGTCCTCAGTGAGTGTGTTGAGCTGGTTTTGTTTTGGTCGGTGTAAAAGGGTGCGAGCTGCATAGCTGGGAATGGAAAGTAGGGCAGGATGGTGGGGGTGGATGTGGTGGTGGTAGTGGAGACGGTGGTGCTGGGCTGTGGGGGGTATCATGACTGTGTTCTATTAATACTTTAGAGGGAAAAAGTGGCTGCCAGCCTCTAGGGTCCTTGTTTAGCACTGAATGTAAAGTTTATAAGTAGCTGGTATAAGATAATAATAGAAAACAGAGACGTATCATTCATATCAGCAGCATGTGTTAATGTGAATACAATGAATGGCTCCATTGGTCTCTGGATTAGCAGCAGGATATTTATAGCTCATTTGTAAACACGGAAATTGTGAGGACGTGTGTGTCAGTTTGTGTGAGCACAACGTATTCTGTATTTCAATACAATGGAAATTATATTAATGTTACTCATAATTATAACTACAATTAGGCTGATGCCATGAGGGTGTACTGTTGTAAACACAGTCACAGTGTGGCAACACATTTGGAGAAATGTGCCTTAAAATGCATAAACACACTGTATATCCATCAAGCGGTGTGATGGTGGCTCAAACTACCTTAAGAAATGCTAGAAACCGCTCATTTCATTAGGGACTTGTCTCCTGAGAGTACTCACTGTGGTTTTGGCCATAGTCATAGAACTCCGCTGATATTCTTGCAGCCTCTTTACGGTTCCCACGGACAATGTAGAAGTACGTCAGCAGGTTGAGAGAAATCTTCACAAAGAGCTTAAAGCAGAAGAGAGCCAAGATGCTGAGGTAAACATTGGACAACTGGGTTGCAAAGGGCTTGTTGGTGAGTTCCTCTGTGGAGTCTGACATTTCTACTGTCACACACAAACACACGCACAGGCAAGTGTTAGCAACAGCAGTGCTGGAGGATCGGATGCTGCTCCTAAAAGCACCAGAGTACTTCTACTTTTTTCCTTCCAGTGCACTGACTGGTCGGTTGGTCCTGACAAAGCACAGCCTGGAAAAAATGTCCTGCAGCTGCTGCTGTGGCAAAGAGTAACTATCACAATGTTATTGTACAACGTGACTAGATGTGGGTGTCATCATTGCACATAGTTTATAAACAATGGCAAAGACATGATCACTATCCTATGTCAGATAGAAAGGACAAAAGGCCAAAAAAATAAGTACAAAAGATAGAATAAAAATGCCCCATTTTTTGTGTAAGACTACCATTACAATCACTATTAATTGTAATGAGTTTGAATGGGTTTAAAAAAACAACTAATAAACAGACAAAAACTGAGAAGAGAAAAGCAAAATTTAAAAATATTAATAAAATAACCCAAAAAATACTAAACTAAAACTAAAACATTGCAAAAATATACCCAAAACCCCTGTGAGTGAGGAAGATCGGTCGAAGTCTATGAAATATAAATATAAAGGAGCTCAACATGCAATAATACTTCATCCAAAACAGCAATTAAGTTTCAGAACATTTTTGATTAAAATGTCAACTTTAAATATAATCAACTGTTCAGATTGGACAAAACGTCATTGTTTATTGCAATATTACAAAAAATCTTTATATTGACAATGTAAATTGTGTTACTTTGTAACTAATTATAATTCTATTAGGTCACACGTATCATCGCCAGTATTAAATCAGTTTCTTTTTTCATAATACTCTAATGGTTTTATAGCTGTTAAGCTGAGGAAAAAATGCTTTTAATTGTTATTAAAGATTGAATAACTTTTTGTTAATTTTCATTTATGTATTTATTTCCCTGTTTATATAAAGTGCTTCAACTTTTAGCTTTCACTTTGAACGAATTAGTTTCACACTTTCACCACGGCGCATGCGTCGAACTGCCTTCATTTCCGCAAACGATTTCTGCGACTTCCTGCTTCACTGTATTCTCTTCTACAACTTCTTTTTCTCCTTCAGATGAAGGATTTTGGCCGTGTGTTTGCGGTAGTTTCAGTCTGGGTGTGTTCGATCTTCTGTCCTCTGTGCGGCCTCCATGTGAACACACAGACTGTGGTTGAAAAGAAACTCTCGAACAATAGCAACAACAACACGGACTCTGTTGCAGCTCAGTTTTACTGGTTCAGAGAACAGTTTCATCGACAGTATGATACCAACGATGAGTTCAACATGCGGTTTCTGCATTTTCGGGTGAGAAGGAGAAGGATGGCTATGATGTAGATGATGATACTGCAGGAAATACTTGTAAAAGTGTGTTTACAGGATTTACGTCGCTTGGAAGTGACGTCACTATACGCACACCCACCCAGTGGAAGTAACTTCGAATATTACTATATTTAAATAGTAGTTCTTGGTGACGTTCCTCATATAATTTACTAATGTATTTAGCAAATTTCTATTATCTTTATCTTTAAGTTGTAGTGAAATTAGTTGTGTGATTTATTGCATTTATTTTTTATAAATCACCATAGGTTCAATGAAGTTTATACCTTTAAACCACTCTCACCACACATTTTCACCACATATTTTTATCACACTCTCCTGCATTCCTCTTGTCCATCAAGCTATACATTTGCCCTTACATATTTAATTTTTATTTCCTTTTTTTCTTTACTCAGACTGTAATCACTGCCTTTCTTCTGGAACTTCCTTTCTATATTTTATCCTCCTTCCTTTCTCCTGTCCAGCCTTTATGCAGTTAAACATCATTTTTAAACATTTCTGTTGCCTCTCTGGTTTTCCGCCCACTCTCTTTACCACTTTCATTTCTTCTTTTCTACCGTCTTACATTCTTCCTTTCCTCCCTCTCATAAATCCCTCCAAATGCAACTCATTTATGTGCATCGTCTGTTTGACAGTACTGTGTGAATAAAATGTGCAACTGCGTAGAAAGAAGTTAAAAACTGCTCCTTGTGAGCAGATATAACAGTAAACTGCTGCCTTTTTATTAGTGTGATAAAATGTAAATGATCCAGTGATTAAATACTTAGGTCATATATCAATCACTCAGGGTGTTTAATTACTTACATTTTATTCATGGGTAGCATTCAATTTATTATAATGTCTCCATTTTATACTTAAATGGATTGGGGTTTTTTTTTATTTATTTACTAGTTTTTAGTTAAGTGAAAGGTCACTTATTGCAAAATGTGTGCTGTCAGTATTTATTGTAATTCATTTATAGCATATATCATATTCAGAACATCCCTTAAGTCTAGTTCAGATTTATATTGAAATTTTATATATATTTTTAATTATATTTCATGATGCTACAATATTGAGTCCGTAATGGCACCATTTTATTTCCTTACAGGAGGCTACAAAGCGACATACATATCGGAACTTATTTTCAACAGCCACGCACTCTGCCAAGTATGGCGTCAACCAGTTCTCTGACCTCTCTCAGGATGAATTCAGAGGTATATGTTTAAGATTTGCAGAATTAAGATTTCTAAATGGACTTTATGCTGTAATTTTGCATTTCTTGGACACATAACAACACTGTGTCCTGGAATGACACTGAACTCTGGACTGTTTGTCAAAAGATGTATACCTGCGGGCGAACACGGACACAGTTCCACTTTTCTCTGGACAGAAGACAGAAGGGCTGCCAGCCAAATTTGACTGGAGGGACAAAGCTGTGGTGGCACCAGTCCAGAATCAGCAGGCAGTAAGGTTTACACAGAGGCATTATGGCATTTATTGCTGAGAGAAGTAAACTGTAGATATACGTGAGAAATATGACAGGTGTTTCTGCTGGTTTAGTTTTTCCAAGGTTTGGCCTCATTGTGAAGCAAATTTTTATGGTGGTGAGAAATATACAGATGCCATCATTTAATTCATGGTTTCTTATAGACTGCCATGACTTAGACTTAGATACAGGTGTAATTTTACTATGTTTAGACATTGAAACCCCAACTTATTGAATGAATAGGAAAAAGGTCAAGGTAAAACTACAACAATATTGTTAAAAATGACTAAAGGTTTGCCTTTTTTCTCTTTTGAGGATTATTTTGCATTATTTACCTTTACAAATAGAAAAACCTACTTTCTTCAATGGACACAGTGTCAATGAAACAAAGTCACACTTTAACATTTGACAATAACATGCGGCAACCTCAGCTCAGTAATGATGTACGAGAAAGTACTCTGAGAGTGGAAGAGGACTGGTGAGAGCAAAGGAGAAGCAGGTGAAATGATAAAGTAAGTCATTAAGTGTGAGTTTTGCTCAGAGAGAAGCAGGGGACACAAACAGGCAGAGCGTTAGTGAGACTGAACTGTTGCTTGTCCTCGCAGGTTCACTTTCTCCTTTTTTGTCCTTTATCTCTCAATTTGCTGTCGGCGATGATACTTTTTTACTGTAATACTTGTCCTGGGGGATAGACACAAGCCTACACAGGGAAAAGCTCAGGCAATAACATATATTTTACTCTCTTGAATTCAGGTTAGGTCTGCCACACCAGGGAGTGGTGTCTGTACCTGACCAGACTCACACTTCTGCAGATTTCCTGCTCAGTTTTGACTTTTTCTCCCCATGGACTCTGCCTGTGAACCTGCAGATTTTTGATACCATGCGCTTCCATGTACACAGACACAGAAATTCAGGCTACTTACGTCTCAGGATTTTTTTTTTTTTTTTTTTGTCTTTTTTTAAGTTTTTAACCATTAGGTAATCAAACGTTTTCATAGAACCTCTTTTTCTGTTTTAGTTCACTTAATCTATATAAATTTGGACATGTTTCAACATTGGCAAATAGCAGTTTATGTAAATATTTAGATTGGACTAGATCAAATTTTATTGATCTCACACTGAGGAAATTGTTGAACTGCTGAAATGTGGCTGTTCATATGTTCAGCAGTATTAACTCTAAGCTTTTTGTTAAATTATCCTAAATCAATTAAAATGTATTGTCACACAGATATGAACACCAAGCACAGGGCAATTGTTTCAATATATATTTCCACATTATTTTTGTCTGCATTTAAAAATGTAACAAATCATTCAGACTGTTGTTTGTGGGCTGAAAAGTAACTCCCTGCGCTGGAAATAATGAACTTTTACATTTGTAAAGATAAGGTTTATTATTACATTTTGAACCATATTGAGTAGAGATTTAGATCACACTTACAAAAAATGATATTTTCGTCAGAACCTGTCGACGCAAATTTATGCTTTCCATAAAGGAAAAATAACACTGGTATGTAGATATATAATCTTTTTCAAATGAGCAACTTTTCACCTTGGCATATTTCAAATTATCCATATCCTAGAAACAAATCTGTACCAGGAACTGAGATTACTTCCTTTACTCAATGTGTTTCTGTCAGTAGAGGGCAGCAGAAAACAATTGGTCACAGCAAAATCAGCCCTTGACGGATCATCGTCCTACTGTATGAATGTGTATGAATATGTAAAGCCCTGCAATTTCTCCCATACATCTAAATGCACTCTTATATTAACCTATAGTTATATGGACCAGTTAAAATATTTTTTCTATATGAAGATTTTTTTTGTCTGCACTTCATCCTCACCAACATTTTACACTTCATCAGTGATTGCTGTTTTTAGTTAATTAAGTGCAGAAAGTGTGGAGTAGACCTGCAGATAACCTAAAATTGAGAGAATTAAATGTACTGAACTGTAATTGGCAGCCATTTTAACTGTGACTTGTTATAATGATTGTGCAATCAGAAACACATGAAGATATTTAATAACAGGGATTATAAGGATCAAGTTTTCAGCAGGGCTGCAGATGAAGAAAAAGGTCATTTCAGTTTCTTTATTTCTAAATTTCTTCTCATTACGTGTATGCTTTTGCAGTGTGGGAGTTGTTGGGCGTTCAGCGTGGTGGGGGCCGTGCAGTCTGCCCACGCCATTGCAGGCTCACCACTCCAACAGCTGAGTGTGCAGCAGGTTGTGGACTGTTCATACAAAAATGAAGGTTGTGGTGGAGGCTCCCCTACCAGGGCTCTGAGTTGGTTAAAACAGGTTTGTACAACATGTTTATCAAATTCGCCTCACCTGTGGACAAAAACTAATCTTCTATTTTGATGATGATTACAGTACAATTATTTGAACTTAATAAAAAACATTATTACAGTACGCCACAAAAGGAGATGCTTTTTGAATAAAAGCAAATATGAGTTAGCCACAAAAATAAAAATAAATTAAGATGGAGCTAAAATTAACCAACATGGTTTCAATTAAATATAGAAGGATTTACTGTTAATTCTGAAGCTAAGCCACAAAGAGATAATTTTGATGAACTATGGATAGAAAAATGGGTTGAAAAAATTGCTTCGAGGCAACAGTTTTTCCAGTCGCACTTTTTTTTTTCCATTTTATCCTTTGGCTGGGTTTGCAACCTATACGCAGGTGCGACTTATATATTAAAATATATAATTTCACATGTTTGTTATTGTGACACTGACAGCTGCAAAGAGGCACTTTAGGCTTGTGTGCCAGTATCTGCTACTCCTGTAGGTCGCACTTTTTTCATCCTTTGGCTGGTGCAACTCCGGAGCAACTTAGTCCGCAAAATACAGTGGAGAATTGAAGGAGAATTGCTAAACTGTAGCCATTGGGAATGTATAGAAAACTTGAAAAGTATCTTATATTGTTTAGTCTTTTAAAGCATTTGCTAAGAAAAATTCTCAGTCTGGGAAGCTCTGTTCTATTTACACAATGCAGAATATATTCCCAGAGCTTCAGTAACTACTGAGGTGAAAAGATCATGACAAAACAACATAAACCAAAATGAAATCATCGGTTGTATTATGTAAGTGGGATTCAAAAATAAGTTTAATCCTTTACCCTTTCTGTACTTTGGTTAAACCCAGCACTGACACGTGAGTTGTACTATTTTTTTTCTTCACATGGCTTCATAGGACAAAGAAGACGGTCGTTTTCAATTTCTTTTAGACAGGGAAAAGCAGGTCATGTGGTTATTTATTTTAATTTGAAAAATGCGCAGTGGCAGTAAGTAAAGTAAGATGAGTGTCCTCTATGCTCACAGATATAAATGAGTCCTCAGCTTCTGCCAACGTTCTCCCAAAACAAGATGAATGAATATTTCTGACTCTGATAAACTCTGAAAGTCACTAAGGTTAAAAATTAATTTTCTCTCTAGACCCACGTGAAGCTGGTGGCCAATTTCGAGTATCCCTACAAGGCCAAGACTGGAATCTGCCATTTTTTCTCCCAGTCACACAATGGCGTCTCTGTAAGGAGCTTTACTGCACAGAACTTCAGGTAAAATTCAACTTTTTTAACGTGTCTCTAAGCAATAAATGGCTTGTGGTAGTGTTAACGTTTCTATCATCAGGTAGCATGGATGAAGGGGAGATATGCATGAGGACTGGAAGTCCTGCACAGTGTCACTACTGTTTACTGTGTCAACAAAAAGGAGAGACTTGTTTTGCAGCTCAAAGGTTTTTGACTCAAAGGTTATGATGTAGAAAGGTTTCATTAGAGGCAACAAACATGCTTAGGAAACTTTTGTGATACTTACAATTGTCATATACATTTACTGTGCTTAGTAGATAAAAGTATATCTGTTAAACTGGTAATGCAAAGTTATAGACAGTTTCTCTTCTTGCATTGAAAGCCTGGCAACATACAAAATGACGATGATTTTGAGCTTGATGTTTTGCCCAATAGGTGACAATGTAGCTCCCTTTGTAGATAAACAAATATTTAAGTAGAAAATAATAAGTCAAGATATTCACAATAATCCATACAAAAATGTATCTTTAAACACAATTTTAATGTGGAAAGTTTATAAGTTTCACATTAACAACAGTGAGGGCTCAGTAAAACAAATCTGTCAGCAATAAAGTAGTCAAAAGTAGGTTAAAAATACTTTTACAGGTTAAGCAAAAACTCCTAAAGTGATTAAAATAGTAGGGAAAAAGGCAATTTTTCCCTGGAAAAGTATTTTTGCTCAATAATTAAAAGAAAAACTGTATTATATTGTGTCTATGTCCATATTCAAATAGATAACAGGAATTAATGAAATTATTTAAATAATTATCATCAATATAATGTTTTTTTTTGGAAATGACATGTAACTTAGTAGAAGTTTTCATTGTTGCGACTGAGTCATAATTAACTGACTTGACTGTCGATATAATGTGAAACTACTGAGACGATGTCACAGAGCTGGGTCATAGAGTTCACCAGGCTGTTGTTGCATGACACATGTCAGACTCAAAGGTTTAAAGTTCAGATAAATATATTTAACTGGGAAAACAGTTCAGGACATGATAGTTTCGCAAGGTTTAACAAGACACCAAGTTTACAGTGACCTTCTGTGGTCCATATATGTCCTGTAAGTCTGGCACAATAATAATTTAATGATCCAATAAATGAAAGCAACAATGTTGTTCATGAAACTAAAGTCCTTTGGAAAAATAAGAACATGTAAGTGCAGCTTTTCAAAACCAAAACAGTTTTGACATCTCATTAATAGTCAGGGATTTTAACCTGCTACAGTTTAAATGACATGGCATGTCCCTCAAAAATATGTATGATAAACTTTGTTTTTACTGTTGCTCAGTGGCCAGGAGGCCGCGATGATGGGTCAGCTGCTAGAGTGTGGTCCTCTGGCTGCTATCGTGGATGCTGTCAGCTGGCAGGATTATCAGGGAGGAATCATTCAGCATCACTGTTCCAGCCAGCACTCCAACCATGCTGTTCTCATCGTGGGATATGACACCACAGGTACATTCTGCCATCACACTGGAGTCAGACAGAATTTAGGAACAGAAGTGTTTCATAGTACATACGTATATACTCTATATTACTTGCTTAGCAACAGTTTAAACAGGTCAGGCTTTATTTAGGTCAAAATTTTCAACCCCAGGGTCTGTGGAAGTAATTAAAAATGAAGCCACACTGCAAAATGTAAAGGTTAAAAAACACATTTACCTTGATCAGCCTTCATCAGAACTTGCAGCTGCAGCAAAGAAAAAGTCTCCTCCACTAGAATTGAAAGGAAACACAAAATGAATGATAGCTAAACATTTTATTTATTTTTTGCAGCACTTTCAGTAGAAATATACAGTAAATGCCTTGAGCTTGTCATGAAAAAACTCTGTTTGCTTCGACCAGGGAGCGTTAAGAGGAGTGAACTCCTTTCTTCCCCATTATTGAAGATAGATGAAAAGATATTCCTTTGAAATTTGAGACCATATTAAGGAGATAGAGGAGGCCACCCGGTTGCAATTTTTATTACAAAGGGAAATATTCATATACAGTGAGGCTTCAAGATACAAGCTGCCCGAAACACAAGTTTTCCAAGCTACGAGTAAGCAACTTTTGCTTACAAGTGCGTATCTTGAAGCCCCACTGTATTTGTAACAGACAGCTACCACAAACAAATACTATCAGTATTTACCCTGATGCAAAACTAAGACTAAGAAAAACTGCAGTGTGGATCGCAGTTATCACAGATCATTTATAGGAAATAACATTGTCATGTTGTTGCAAAGACCTAAAAGCATAAGGAACAATATTGGGGTCAAAATATAAATTAAGGAACTGCATGCATGGAATTTAATGTGTCAGTGTGTGGTATTTAGACATGCATCTACATATATACAGTGATCCCTTGCTATAACGCGGTTTACTTTTCACGGTTTCGCTACTTCACGGATTTGCATCGTGCATTGTGTTCTGCATTCTGATTGGCTAAAAAGTCACTCCGCTTCTTCTCTACCTGTGCGCCAATAACGTTGCGGTTTAATATGTACACGTACGTAAAACAGCTTGCCAAATTGACATTACGTACGTGCAAATTCTCTTGCAATTTCGAGTTTATCAAACCCCATAATGTCGACAAAACGCTCTGGACCGGCAAAAGTACCTGCGGTAGGGACCAAAAGGCAGCGGAAGATGCTGTCTATCGGTGATAAAGTAAAACTATTGGACATGCTAAATGAAGGTAAAAGCTATGCGGCTGTAGGTCGGCATTATGGAATTAATGAATCTTCCGTTCGTTCCATAAAGAAGGAAGAAAAAAACATAAGGAAGACAGCAGCAATAAGTTTTAATAAGGATTCAAAAAGGGTTGCAACTGCCCGCAACAAGACCAGGTAATTTGTATTTTTTTCATAATCATTTTTAATTTTCTCCCGTTCACGGTGGGCGGTGCTAATCTCCGCAATTTGAAGCCTTCTGTTCACGTTGATGATTAAAATTATTATTTGACAGTACATTACAGAAGTTATTTGTTGAAACGTTTCTAAAGTACTTTTATTTTACTTTATTTGTGAAACAAATGGTTGAGACTGTAAAATGGTTTGTTCGTTCTTTCTCTTCTTTTTCTGAGTATTTAATTGTAAAAAAAATAAAGATTTCTACTTCACGGATTTTGCCTATCACGGGTTCTTTTTGGAACGTAACCCCCGCGAAAAACAAGGGTTTACTGTATTCACCCCCTTGGATGTTTTACCCTTTTAGTGCTTTCATAAATCAATCATGGTCAATACAATTTGGCTTTTTTAACTATCTTCTAAAGCACACAGCTTAAATACATGTAAACAATAAATGTATGTTTACACAGATTTTGTTCATCTTACTATAAATACATAGAAAAATGATCAGCCTATGTAATACTACAAACTTGTGTGTACAAATACTATATTAACAATATGTACAGATTTTGAATTGTATTTTTACGTGTAAGTTATTTTTGTATATATTATACATTTTTTGTATAATTTTTTTAAAAATTAAAAAAAAAAACTCTTCATTTTAAGTATTCATGTACTGTGTCACATTCTATTCAACAAAACTGTGTCTCTAAAGTAATTAAGTAGTAGTAACTTTACTTGCACCAGTAAAATCTGTGGGTCATATGAAGGGTATATTTGATTAATGACATGAGCATCTTTAAGGCATCATTAACTTTGGTATTTCTGTTATTTTTCGGCCATTTTTGGCTAACCTTTAGTCTTTAGGTCATTAGATATTGCAGCAGCTGTAGCTAATTTATTTGCTTTGGCGTTTTGCTAACAATTGGTATTTTCTGGACTTTTACTGTTTTGTGGCATTTGTTTTGCCATAATCTTTAGTTATCTTTAGTTTAGTTTATTTTTTTTGCCTTTTCCCTTTGTTTCTTGACCTAAATAACATTGTATTATTCGTCTATTTGCATACATTAGCAGAAAATATACACCTTTATGCACTGGAAATGTGTAACTACGAAGTGCATCTGTTCGTAAGGGGTTCTAAACACATATCTTCTTCAAGTAGCCTTTCTGGTCCTTCTTTAATATAAATGGCTTCTCATATTATTTCCTTTCAGACAACCTCTTGGTCGGAGTCTTCACTGCTGCCGTAGGAGCTGTCGCAGCACTCAGCCACGTACAGAAATGTGTGAATGTTGGGATTCAGCTTGGGAACCCAGTGGTGAGGCACCAGGAACGTTGCCAGGTTGAAAAGGTCCACAAACACCTTGTAGCGGTCACTAAAAATACATGAAAACATACAATATTTATCTCATGCACTGTTCCAGTAGTGTCCACTAACTGTACTTTTTACAGGACAGACGAGGAGACTGATGCTAACACTTCTAGGTCTAGTCTAGTCATTTATCGATGTTGCTAATTGAATAATTTCTGTTGTCACTTCATATGTCTATAGGTTTTTGCTTTTCCCACTTTTAATTAGCAGTTTTTTTGTGACTTTTGTATGATATTTGTACTTTAGTTTGCTATTTATTGCTTCTGAGCAATTTGTTAGGAACAATTAGCCACGTTTGCTTTAATTTTTAGCTTTTTTCGGCTAAATTGGATTTTTTTAAATTAATATTGGTATATCAATTAAAAATACATTACATATACTATTACATTGTTCTGTACCTTTTTTTAAACAATTTGGCCCATACCATTCTAGTTTGGACTAATATAATCTGTCTGACATTTAATCAGTGATTGCTTATAAAAGGACATGCAGTACATTATAAAAGTAACTGACTGTTATATTTGCTCTAATCCACATCAATTCCTAACCTTATCAGTGTTTCCCTGTATTGAGTTCTTATCTATTCTGACCCCAAAGTCTTTATAATAGCTTTATCTTGAGCAAGTTAGTTACAGTACAGTGGGGAACCTGACAGTAGATCTCAGGTAGTGGTATCCAGAGGATCCTCCCGTTCCAGCTTTGCTGCCAATCATACGGTGAACCATACAGACGTGATTGTCTGAAACAGAAAAAAGAGAAAATGAGTAAAATGTGCTGGATGTTTGTAGACAAAGACTTAGTTTCATATGTGTTGAAAACTGTAGTATTTCACCCACATCTCCATTTGGTCATTGGAGCATCCATATCCATGAGTAATGTGAGCAGCTGGAAGGGAACCTGGAATCTTGGCTCCTCCCTGAAACCTAGGCCATGAGAGATTTTTATTGTGATGATTTATTTTTAGTAATTCCTATTGGTTTTGAGTATTCTTGGTATTTCTACTTAAATTCGACAAAACATTTTAGATTCAATGATTTATGTTATGACAGGTAACAATTGAAAAGTAATGAGAGGTTGTTCAAGGCTGAATCACTTGCTGTAGTGAGCTTCAGGTCCAATATTTGATCGGATAATAGATTTTGGCTTATTCTTTTTAGTGGTAACCATTAAACTGAATGACATATGCTAAATTATTGTTAAAGTTTATAAAACTAAAGCTAATATTTGCAAGATGTGTAAAAAGAATAATACGTTTCCCATAAATGCCAATCACCATCTTAAACCCAAGAGTTTCACATTAATTTTCACTGTTTTGGTAGCTGTCATGTGTGGAGACATAATGAGCCCTGTGATGTCACCAAGGTCACAAAGACCTGGTTAACACAATTGACAAGCAGGCATCAGTGATAATCACTGGCGAGTCACACATCAACACAGTCAGGTTTTACACACAAAGATGTCATGGGAAGTTTTTTAGTTGCTTTAGAAACACAAGTAAAATATAGATTTTGCAACTTTACTTGGTTTATTTTTCTCATTATGCAATAGACAACATGCCATTTAGTTATAAATGTAGGTCATTCTTTGACTGTTTTTGACCTAACTTTTAGACATTTAATGACTTAGTGTATGTTTTAAGCAACATTTAGTTTATCTGTATGTATATATAGAAATTTAAAAAATAGGGAATATAAAATAAAAGTGTAAACCTGTAGAAGTAGATCATCAGGGCACCTTGAAGAGCCTTGTACGAGAGCCTTCGTTCACCTTTTGAGAGAAAA